TATTGAAAACCCCAATTTTAACAATTTTAGAAAGGTATAGTATAGCAAAAACCTATATTTTCTTTTACTTACGTAATAATTTTGCTAAATAGCTAAATTGAGTTATTGAAACATCAGCTGCTAAAGAAGCTTGTTTTCCTTCTTTTCCTACAATGCCAACACCTAAAAGTTTTTTAATATAATCTGATATATATCAATTACCAAAATTTTAATTGCAATTAAAAACCAACTCACCAAGGTCAGCTGCTTGGATCATGCTAACATCATTACCACCATCACCTATGCAACAAACTCTCTTATTAGTAAATTTTTTAATGAGCCTAGTAATGTCTGCCTATTCATTAATTGATAAAAAGTATTATAAGTAAGTTAAAGCAATTTGATTGAATTATCAAATAATTAATTTAATTTAATTTACTTTTTGAGTAGGTGAGCATCTACAAGCAACAACAACTGGCAATCTGATTGCCAGTTTAATAAATTCATTGTTATAGTAATCAATGTAAAGCTATATATAACATAGCAATTTTAATATATAAAAAAAAAAACAGAAATAATTAAATAATTAATTGACTAATTAATTACCTGAAGTGATTCTCCATCAATTACCAAACAACAATCTCCTTTACTTTGCAAATGATTTAATTCCTCTAATGCTTCATCTGGTGACCTTACTAATTAAAAGCCAAATTAAAATAAATGTCAATTCAATAATATTATATAAAATGAATTTAAAATATTACATTTTGCTATTTAATGAATAATCTGATTCCTTGAAATCAATTTTGAAGATATTCCTATGCAAGTAGCCGTCTCTATTTTATCTCCTATAATAATAACAAATGAAAATAATAATCACTACAAAATAAATTTATAATCATTTAAAATTATTATATGAGAATGTTCATTAACCTGTTAACATCCAGATTTTAAGACCTGCATTTCGAAGTAATTCTAATGTAGTTTTAACACCATCTTGAAGTTTGTCTTCAACACCAGTCAATCCCAAAAGTTCTAAGTCTTGCTCTAGAATTGATGAAATAATTTTTTCTTGCTGAGCTTTACAGTTCATCAAACTTATCTTAGCTTCATGAAACCTAATCAATAGTAATAATTAATCATTGTATGTTACTTTAAACTTAAAATTTTATAAATGGAAAATTTTTATAATAACAATACCTTTCTTGAAAATTATTATAAACATCTTCTGATATCTTTTTACA